CTTCTGCCCAGCTCAAAGCACCACAGAAGAAAGCAAGCTTGGAAAAACTTCCTTACTTAACAATACCCTTGTGCTCTGAGGCCATTAATTCACTTCCCCAAGCTGATCAGTTTTTCTATTCCAAGAGATTAATTTCCTTACCTTGGCACTCTAAAGGATCAAGGCTCACGACATATAAATAGTTCTTTCTTCAACCCCGAAGGTGTGTTGTGAGGATTAATGAGATGATACTTACAATTGTATTTTGAGCTCCTGGGTTGAAAGGCATTTTATAAATACAAAATATTAGTTCTCTGTTGAAGTCTCTCACCACTTACTAGTGGCCAAACATTCTAGATGTCCCTTGGTAGCACACCTCCCTCCCTGACTCTTAGGATGTTCTGGGTCAGGGCCAGGAATGTGGCCCAAGCAAAGCTCAGAGAGTTTCTCCAGATCCTTTTCTTTAGTGTTGTTTGCTTGCTTAGAAACTCACAAAATGTTCCTTAGGGACAGAGTCATGGCCAAAACCTCTGAACTGCCCTGCTACTTAAGGATACTCCCATCTATTTTCTTTTGCCTCTAGCTCTAGTACATAGTATTCAGTCTCTAACTGTTCATTAGATACACACTTTCAGGTTTTTAATGTCAACAGAGGAATAAAGAAAAGTTTCTCTTCCTTTATTCTAGGCCTCAGAACAAAATGCAAAAACATCTTTGGCATTAATTGTACACAGGTGAATGCCATTACAATATACCTATTAACATACCTGCATGCATGACAATATTTCAGGTGGTATTAATAGGCTACCTGCCAAAAGTCATTTCCTGTTAGCCTAGTACAAATTGCCAGAACCTTTAAGCCACTCTTTCTCAACTCAGCCCAGTATATCATCATTAACTGTGACTGGACCAAGAAATCACATTTGTCAATGCCTGAATTGTTCTTTTACTTCGGGTGGTTTTAGAAACCCACTTTGTTTTAGCTGAATATAATTTAGAACCTGCAGAAATATGAAAAAAAAAACAGCTGATGATTTAGGGCATATTTAGGATGTTTTATTTTCTATGGCCAGTTGGTCACTGCCAGATAACTTTTGTGAGGTCAGGTAAGATACAGTCATCTTTTGAATGATGGTCTAATCAATGTGCTTCCTTTTGATTGTTAAGAGCGTTGAATCATATTGATATTGGTAGTGTAAATGAATGAAGTGGTTTTCACACCTCACGTTTTACATATATACCATCTCCTAGTACTTTACACTAAATCTATGATGAACTGAGAAGCGAGAAAATCAAGGCCAAGTAACTTGCCCATAATCACATAACTGGCAAAGTTAGAATTCAAAACCAAATTTGTTTCCAAATCTACCTTAACTCTTAGACTATATTAATGATGGCTTTAAGAACATTAGTATGACTTCTAATGAAGTGAGCTATGTTTGAACCAACAGAGTATAAGAGTAATGTTGTGTTTGTTATTCTCCTTTCTATACAAGAGTTTTCTCCATCCTTCAGTTCTTTACTTGAAAGAATTTTTATTCATTTGGGCTATTAACAAGGTCTATGTCCTCACATTTAAGAGCTACTGATATGTATTGGGGATGTATTCAAGGGACAGTTTGCTTGCTTATCTTTCTTCTTCCGTCATAAACAGATTCACCAAAATGTAGAAACTGTGAGTTTGTTCTGCATAAAGGTTGGAACAACGCATATGAACCAGTTGGGCCTTACTAATTTCAATGCAGAACTTTCTGCTTTTTTCAGTATTATAATTCATCAGTGCATGTTGTGCTTGTCTCCATAAGTTGCAATATTTCATGGTAGAGCTAATAGTCTAAACAAAAATGACTTTATGAAGCAAATTGTATAGAAAAAAGTCTCAATTTCTTAGCCAGACTGGAAGAGAATAAGCCCACACATTTATTTCAATTAAAATAAACTGTAAGTACTATTTTTTATAAAATCCAGTCCCATGTCAGTGAGTGTCAGATTCATATATTAACAGCTATTCACTTGAAAATCTCCTTGTACAATTTATACATTTATCATTGTGCTAGAGAACTGCAATCATTACATATTTTGTTGAATTTGTAATGCATGTAAGCCTCTTTTTAATCACATTATGACATTACTCTTCATAAAACCACTGTTTATAGAGTATAGCATTACTCCCTGTTGAATTGATTTCACTCTTTGTTTAAAATTTCATACTGGTTGCTCTATGAAATGTACAACTGAATGTCATTAAGGATTTAATAAGTATATATGAATTTGATGAGGTCTGTTCATCTTTCAGAATAGTCTTGTGAATGAATTTCTATGTATACAAGCCTCTTTAATTAATCTAGCAAATGCGGCTCGGGGCAAATGAACTCATTCTCATGCACATGTTTCTAAAACAGTTCTTATTAGTACTTGAGATAAATTAAAATAAAAATCAACAAGAACATGAAAAGAGACTAAGAATAATGTTAATGTGGCAATTTAAACCAATTTCATTTCCCAAGTGGCCTTCCATCTTTCACAACTTTTAGCAGCATGCAAGATCATTATCCTTAGAGCCAAATACTGTCAATCTTGGGTGGACAACTAAAAACATTTCTCTAAATGTCTTTAAAGCTGAGGTGGAGAAGAATGACTCTCTCTTTTATTTTCATAGGGGTCAAAGGTTGGATCATGGCTATGCTTTCTCCTTCTATATCATTCATTGATTAGCCAACATAGTTTCCTTTTTCTGATTTATATCATGTTACTTTCCATAGAGCCTTATTTTCCAAGAGAGTGGACACCATGCCTAAAGGGATGTTTCAAAGGGCATGGGGAAGAAGCAATGAATACAGCTTTTTAATTAATTCGGCACATCTAGAACTTTGGCAGTTTTGGAATTTTGGTTATTTCTAATGTTGCTCTGTTTTGCTAAGAAGACACAGCTTTATATTTGCTATTGAGTTTACTAATTCATTCCATATTTAATGAGTAATCATTTCCATATTTGATGTTATAGTCAAAATGATAGATACAGAAAGCGTAATGTGAGAGAATTTATTCAAATTGAACCTGGCACACTCCTACTGCCACTTTCGAGTATAGTATTCTAATGAGCCTAAAACTTCAGAGAATGAATGGCATCCCTTACCATCTCTGTTACCTGTTGGGTAGGATTAAGAATAAGTGATGGAGGTTCTTTTCAGAAAAGTATATGGTCCTTTTCTAAAAAAAAAGTGAGAATTTGCTTAACGTTATCTTGAACTAATGGAATTCTAAAAACTCAGATATACCAGGAAGAACTGTTACAATAGTGATCATTCCATATATTAACAGCTAATTTCTTTCACTAGGGGGAGTATGGAAGCCACAAGAAGCTAGGTTGCCTTTCTGAGGTGCAAGGCCTTCCCTATTTTGCTGTAAGAAATGATAATTTGAGGAAAACTTAGATTAGCTGCTATAAGCCCAAGCTGTTAATTGTTCTTTCTATTCATTGTACTTTATTCACTTTAGTTTTTTGATATTGTAATACATTAGGTTTTACAACCAGTCAGATAGGTTTCCATAATGTAGGCTGGAAACACATCCATAGTTACCACCCTTGGGAACATTTTTTTAAAATTCTAGGGTAATAAGGATGATGAGTCATCTTCTTGGGATAATTTAGTCACCAGAGAGGTAAATGGGAAATGAAAATTCCCTAATATTGCTAATCTTTTTCCATTTTACACACACACACACACACACACACACACACACACAAGGCATACCCACAAAGCAGGCCCTAGTTAGTTGCATGTAGATTCTGCTCAGCCAATAATAACTCCTATATAGGGGTGGCGGTGCAATTCAAGAGCCATGGTACTCCTCTTTTCCCTGTTCTGTGGCTATATCAAAATATAATATTCTTTCTGGCTTCTGGACTTCTTTGTAAATTGTTTCTAAGCCACCTGTTTTGAGAGTTTTTAAAAATTTTATTTCACTTTTTAATATTGTAATTTGAAACGGAAGTCCCTAAGTTCCAATGTGGGACAGTGAATCAAAAATAACAAATTTATAACCCACTAGTTTCTGTTAGATCATGATGAGGCTGGTGGAGGACACAGAGCAGCTCCCACAACCTGGCTGCATTATTTTGTTATTTGAAGCATATTCACAAGGGGCTTATCACTACAACACCACGTCCCATTTTCTCCTAACTAGGGAAGCCATCCAGGAGAGGTGATAACAGTTTCAGAGGAGAAAGGGGGCCATGCTGGCAGTTAAAAGCATTATGTTAGAGCCTTGAAACTGATTAGATATGTTAAGCTTGGAAGAAGTATCCCTGGCATTCTCTATGAATGAGTGCTTGTTCAGGAAAGCGGGGAGGAGGAGACAGAGAGAGAGATACAAATCAACACCTCATATTTCTATATATTTCCTTTGGAGGTCCCTTTTTTTTAAAATGTGGAGCAAATCTGTAAAAGGAGTTAGAGATCTAGAGTCCTGTGTCCTAGTCTGGCTGTTTAACACAGGTAAGGAGATGCCAAGCTCTCCTCTACCTTCCTTCAGGATTTGAATTGTTCTTTGGCTTCTCTGTGCCTAAAAGCAGAGCAGTTGCAACTGACAGGAGAATAAGGGAGGATGTGGCCCTGTCCTCTGAGGGGACTGCCGTGGTGTTATAGTGGAGTATGCCTGGCAGAGACGCTAATCATTCCCTGTTGCATTGTGAAAGCGGTCTGGCAGGTAAAATCCTCAAAGGTCAAACTGGGATGAGGAGAGAGTGTGAAGGTAAACACATTTCTCTAACTGGGAAAACCTACTGATTCCCTCCCAACGTCATGTTGTCCAAGCACGATGGAGTACTACATAGCCAAGACTAACCTGACCTCAAACCTGTTGACTGAGGGAGAGTAACTTCAACTCCACCTCTACTAACAATAAATTGATATCTATCTCTAAAAACTTCATAAAACAAACAAAAAACCTAGGATGTTATTTTTAATGACGTATTGACTTTTCAGATTGTTCTTTAAGCTGTTTTTTAAACTTTAAAGGCAACACTGATAATGAACGCTTCCAAATGGTAAAACAGAAAATCCCCTTCAAATATAACCGGCCCGTAGAGGAGTGGCTGCAGGAAAAAGGTAACCGTCGTTAAAACTTTCATTTTAAAATCATTTGATTCTAAACCCTCATTTTTAAAGCCTGCAAATAAATGTTCCTTAAATGATAATCGCCTGCTGCATAAATGACTGTTTTAATTTTCATTATAATTTGTGTCAGCTTCCACCTGCCATATGTTGATAAATCATGCTATAATACATTGCCATTAAAATACAGTTAAAGGGACTAGCATTTAGCCTGCTATCAGCATAACAACCACAAACAAGAAATTCCAGGAATGTCTAAAACAGAAATGTATTATGGCAATTTAACCACTGCATGACATTATTTGTTAATTTGTTTTAAATTACCTCATATACTAGAGCTTTCTAAAAAAAGAAATTCAAAAGTACTTTTTAAACTTACGTCTTGAGGCTGTTTTGGCTTTACTATCTGTGTAGTATGGCTAACTCAACAAAGAATCATCGACTGACTTGAAACTTAAACTGCTTAAAGCAAATGTTATAAGGGAAGCAATGTGTTTTAACATTTGTTTTTAAACAAAGAAATGAATGAGAAAGATGAATTTTGCCTTTAAATTCAAACCTAGAGGCAAAAGTGTTTTTTTTTTTTTTTTTTTATGAGATTAATTGCATCCTACTTGCTGACTGAAACAAAAAGAAAACAAGCTTATTTCACACTTTGGTTGCACGATACCCTTGTGTATTTGATGTTTTATGCAACAAATGTATAAGTGGTGAAGACAATGAGTCGGAAGGGGAAAGGCTCATGAAAGGCAAAACAGTTTCTGATTTGCTCAACGAAACAACTACTCTGTTAGTAAAAGAGGGCATCGGTTATAACTCAAGTTAGAATTTTCTGTGTGGCTTCTGTTGGTTATGAGACAAACTATTGTTTTTTAATAAAGAAAATCTCTATGAAGCTATACATTCTGCTTTTTCTTGAGCTAGTATAAGCTACTCTTGTCTCTAGACCTCAAATGAGCCTTTAAAGTTTGTAGAGATTTGATTGCATTACATATGAGGAGGAATTGGGACTACTCTTTACTACACAACTTCTGAAACAAAAGACCACTGCCGTTTTTAGTTGGGTGAAGACATTGAGACCTTAAAACACGGAAAATCCTCACCAAGTCTTAACTGTTTGCCCTGTTTACAACATATGTGGTCTAATTAAAAATAAATTAAGAATAACTCTAAAAAGCAAATAATTCTGTTCAGTAATCAAAAGCTCATAAAGTCCCTTTAACATTAAATACAATGATTGCCTCACTTTTAAAAAGGAACAGAAAACTAGATGCATGTCTGAGTCTCATGTGCCTGAGAGAACCTTTTTGTTTCTTTCAATTTTATGTTAATAATATTTTATTTTACTCCATTGCCTTTTGAAGTCTAAGTTTAATAGCATGCCAGGCATTTTCATTTGTATAAACCATTATAAAGTATTGGTAGGCCTTTAGTTTTCCTTCTGATAGCATTGTTATGAATTGGCTTTCACATAGAACGATGCTTTCAAGTGCATAAATGGGTGTTGGGTGGGAGGGGGAGGTTGGGGTGGGATGGAGGGAGGCACTGCAGTTTCCTATCTAATATACATGTTTACATATGCATTTAATATTAAAAAGAATTTTGCACACTGTCAGATTCTCTTCTACATTATTTTCACTGAAATTCTTTTTTTCTGTAAGTTGGGTGAGTAACATCTATTTATTCTATTGCTTTACCTCTTCCTCTGCCTAGCTAACTTTCCCATCAAAAGTAAGGCAAATATGCACTGAAAGACCTTGTAACAACAAACATAAAGGAAGGAGATAGAAAGGTGATTAGAGAGATGCATTAGGAAGTACTTGGAATGCCTCTTTGGAGTTATTTCTGTCACTAGGGAGGAGAGCTAGGTCATAGCATTCCCAAGTCTGTTTTCTGGCTCTGGCTACTATTGATTGACTTTCTGACCTTAGACAATCCACTTAACCTCTTTATGTCTCAGGTTTCCTATCTAAGGAGAGGAGAAATAATATGGACTATTCCCCAAGGGTGTTCTGAGGTTTAATTAATTAGTTTTGTGCAACACTGACTGGAGACGTGCAAGGATTTAATTTAAGCATATGTGAACTTAATGTCCAAATGAGGTAACAATTAAGGATTTCTAAGAGGACAAATGACTAAAACAAAACAGCTACATTCTACTAGTGTTATAACAAACCTTCACATAATTCATGAAAAGATAATTTTCAGACTCAAAAATGTATGTATTTATACACACACGTATATAATGATCACTTATTTTAAACACATTAATGATGATAGGAAATAATAATAAGAAAAAAGAACTATGGTATTGATTTTGAGAAATTTGGGGCACACAATGAAAAAGGAGGCTTTTTCAAGTCTGCCCTCCATATCCCATCGAGAACGGATAGTACTGGCTGTTTGCCTGCTTAGTTCAGAAAGATAAATCAATTAGAGGAGGAGAAGGCAAGAGACTGAGTATGTTTTACTCTTCCTTTCTGATTGCTAGCTTTGAGATTAACCACCTAACCCAAGGTACAGAGCGTTAGGAGAATGTTTTGAAACAAAAGGAAAGCAAATCTAGCTAGAAGTACATCATAAAACAAACAAGTAAATAGAAACCCAAGCACTTTCTATGACATGATGGGAAAGTGAATACACAGCCCTTTCACGGTCTCACCCTGCCAGTTTCATTTGCAAGAAGTGATTAGTCAGATCTCTCTGGGAAAGGAGTGGTAGGCAGGGATGAAGGAGCAGTCTAAAATTATATTCTCCAAACATGTCTTGCTTTTCCTAATTCTTGGGTCAGTCTCCAGTGAGCAAAGACCACTTTATGGGGTGAACTATAGTAAATGAGATGAATGCAATCCATCATTTTCAGCTAGTGTAATTCAGCTTTGAATTTCAATTTTCTCTGACCCTCTTTTCACGTGCAAGCATTGGCAGAATGAATATTCCCTAGAAAGTTAGATGAGAACCATTATAGAAGTTATCATTGTGAAGTACTCTCAAGAATATTAGATTATAAAACCTTCTACCTCTAATCAAAATTACTCAACCATTAACGAACCAGCGGTGCTGGATTATATACAAATAACAAAAAGAGATATGGATCAACGCTGCGAAGGGATGATAGTTGTAGGTGTGGGAGACACACCTTGGCTCTGGGGCTCTCTAGTGTAAGATATTGAATTTTCGCCCTACCAATCTCTTTTTTATTTTAAAGAGGAAAAATAAGTAACAAAATAAGAGCAACAAAGACAACAGCACCCTACAAATCTCTTACAATGTACTTTGCTTCTAATTTCTGTTAAGCTGCTTCAATGCCTATGTTGAAGCAATATTTCTTCAATTATATCATTTTTCTGTAGTAAATTTAGAAGTCCCAGGAAAAGTTGTTGAAAATAACCTGTAGAGAGGAGCAAACTCCAGGCCATTACCCTGTGTCATTGGGCATTTAACTTTTGCTGCATGTCTGTGAAGAGGACAGCGGCCAAAAGGCAGATATCGCAGCGTGCGCACAGGAGCCTGAACGAAGAGGTGCAAAAATAATGGGAATGTATTCAGTCTGTTTTGATTGCACCTTTAGGATTTGGAAAATTCTGTTATCATCAACGTCAGCAGGACCCTTTTCTGTGCTCTAGAGATTTTTGTAAAGTGAAGAACATTTTGACTGTAACAAAGTTTTCTAGTCAATTCCTTAAGCTTTCACATGGGTATTATTTGTATGTTATTCTTGAGTAATACATCATCAAAAGTCACTTAATTAGCAGTTGACATTTATCTATAAAGAGCTCCCTCTGAGCAGGCACAGTTTCCCTCCTCTGCTGTTTTAATTTCTTCCTCTAGGGTACACTGAGGAAGAGCTATGCTCTGTAGATTGTCCACATTATACACCAGAAATTCAGGGGCACCTAAACATTTGTACAGCCTTGAAGGTCATATCATAGGGGTAGAGATTCAGGGCCCAAACAGCATCCTACACCTCTGCTCATTAAATCAGAGATAGTAGAGCAAAAACTTCAGTCTTTTAATAAGCAGGCAAGAATAAGAGAAAACTCTTTCCAGATTTTCCTAGCTAAAGCAATCCAGTGATTAGGTTCAGGATGATTGGAGTATTGTTGGATCACTAAATGAGGTGAAGAAAAACTCAGAGGGATGTACTTAATTCTATTAATAGGTCTGTCTTTCCCTTTCTGCCTATGGAAGAGCAGAAGAAAATAATCCAAAGAAATAGCACTAAAGAAGGCCTTAGCATGATAAATTAGAATGAAATTTCAGAATCTTTTAAAGTTTTTTTTCAGGGAAGGATCTAGCTTGAGATAGACTTTTTAAAAATAAGTAGAAATAGTTTGGAGTAAGATTAGTGGAGTTCCACTATGCTAAACTCTATCCTGCATGATTTTATTCTGATAGTATTCTTTCTACAGAAGCATAAGTGGCCCCCAGTAACAACTCCAGATAGGTGAACTCCTGATATTCTTCAATGTATCTCTACATATTTAAGGAGATTTTTGTGTTCCTTTCTTCATTAACATCTCTCCCCTTCTAAAAATATTACTGATTCTGAATGACATATTCCCTAACCTCCTACCTTTAGTCCTACTTATTTTCTATCATGGAGTATAGTTTAGTTGTCTGATCATAACCTCTTGCCTCCAAAAGAAGTAATTATGAGAGTTTATCTGTCATGGTATTTTAGATAGTAAATATATGTAGAACATTATTCACCATGAAGACATAAAAAAAATCCATTTGATGATTAGAATATTTATTTTTTAAGTGTGCAATAAATCCTAATCCTTTACATGAAATTTAATTTTTATTAACATAATTTAATTATCTTATCTATTCTTTAAATTTATTGTTCTTAATAACCTCACTGAGTTTTTGTTTGTCATATATAATTTCTTTTAATTGGTTTTTAAGTATACTTGTAGCTTAAAAAGTGAAACCAATAACCATCTGTGATTTAGTAAGGCCATTATTTGTTTCAGATAATTATGTCATCCACAATTACATATTAAAGAAAACTGTGATAGCTTTCACCATTGAAACAAGGTTTCTTCTTCCATAGAAGAAAAAGAAATCAAGATTTCATTATTCAGGTTATTTAAGATTTTCAGTTAGACCGTGGAAGAGATAACCATAATGAGATGTTACTTGCCAACATCGGTGTTGAAATTTTTTTTTTTCCCCCGGTACCGGGAATCGAACTCACAATGTCGCGCTTGCCAGGCAGGCGCTGTGTCGCTGAGCTAAATCCCCAGCCCCCAGTGTTGAAATTTTGTTATCTGTTTCTCCCGTTTCAGTTGCTCAAGAAAGCTTGCTTTGATGCCTGGTCCATTCAGACCGGGTAAGGCAAGGAGGGAAAATGTATGGAAATAATAATATTTCCTCCACCCAACCCACTAGGCCGGCAGTTAACCATCTTCAACACCCAGGCGCAAATAACCATCGGAGGAGTGGACAGAGAACGCCCCTTCCAAGGCCAACTCTCTGGGCTCTATTATGATGGTTTGAAGATACTGAACATGGCAGCTGAGAACAACCCTAATATTAAAATCAATGGAAGTGTCCGGCTCGTAGGAGAAGTCCCATCGATCTTGGGAACCACGCAGACCACCTCCATGCCACCAGAAATGTCTACCACTGTCATGGAAACCACCACTACAATGGCCACTACTACAACTCGCAAAAATCGCTCTACAGCCAGCATTCAGGTAAGCCTTTTTCTGAGAAATAGTTCTTCTGGATCTTTGCATTTAAAACACAACTATCATAGTCAGCGTTCTATGTATTAAAGCATTCGAATTGCTAGGTTTTAGGAAAGTTGCCTGGCGATGCTCATAGTAATAAGACCCGGGAGCAGAAATAATCATGAGAATCTTGTGGTGCTTGTGGTTATGATTTGTGTCATATTCGTCGCTGAAATGCTTAAGGTGTTATTCAAAATGAGCAATGGACTACACTTTTAGTATGAAACTTCCTCTTATTTTATTACTGCTTCTTTTCAAATAGCAGAAAGGAAAGAGGGTAAAGGAAATTTTATTACCCTTGGAAAGACTGTATCTAGTTCAGTTCTATTCACATCCTCCAGATGGCTTTGTTGGAACAGGAGACCTATGGGTACTGTTAAATCAAGGGCAATTGAAGCTAGAAGTTCAAATAATCCTTTTAAAATGTGGGCTTTGTGTTTGATATTAAATTTTGATTAATCATTTGTCATTTTGGGGATCCATTTGGCTTCCCTTATGTTTGACTGAGATACTAATTACATTAGAAAAAGTGAAGATTTGAACTTAGCCAGGCAAGAAGTCCTTAGTTTTGCGGTAAGGCTTTTGTTTTTCCACTTTAAAGTAATTATATCCAAGCTAAAGCTAAATACCTTGCTGACTCCCTTGGTATTTCATAAATCTAGTTAGTAGGGGGTAGGAGGTTAATCGAGTTATTAGCCTTAAAGTCTCTGGCATAAAATAAGACATTGCAATTGTTTGTGGGGAAACCACCCCTAGCCTAGTTAGTGTTTGTAAAAAATTCATTACAGCAGTACTTGCCTCTTCTGCTTTCCAGTATTAGGACATTACCTAATTTAGCATGGGGCAGTGAATGCCTATAATTCCGGTGCTTGAGAGGCTGAGGAAAGAATCGTTGCAAGTTCTAGGCCAACCTGGGCTACATAGTGAGTCCAACTACAGCCTGAACTATGTAGCAAGACCTTGTCTCAAGAAAAGAGAGACATTATCCAGGAACCCAATTGAGTCTCGGACATCACCCTTCTATTGACTCCAGTGGACATTGTAAATTTCACGTCAATAATCAAGTAAACCTTCCATGTGTTCCCATTATTCTGAATTAGTTTTATATGAGGTAAGCAGAAGTAAATGTGCTATGTTCCTTTCACTTTTTCTTTGAGCAGAAATCCAGAGGGCTCTTTATCATAGGTCCATAAAAACAATTTGAAACTATGCTGATGATGTCATCAGCCTATTTTATGTTTCCTAAAGGCCGCTAAGAACCTGGCTAGTATAGCAGTCTGACAATCACAGATTCTATTCCATGCATACCTACACATACGATCAAAAGAAAAAAGTAGTGCTACTATGCTAATATTAAAGCAATAACTCCTGACACCTCACTCCACTCACTGAAGAGAAGATAAAAGGAAATATATATTCCTATTATGACTCTCTATAGCTCAAGAGCAGATCTGTTTATTGTTGGTGAAGGGATAGTTCTGTTTGCACAGGTCTTGGCAGACTTGTTTTGTTTCTGTCAGAATATATTCTGCTAACTCGGTGGGAAGCAGAGAAGCAAATGGCTTTTTTTTCATTGGAATGGCTGATCTTGTAGTCCTTTTTAAAGCCAAATTTTCACTGACCACGGGTAGATTTACTGTTATACAGAGATTCAGGGATCAAGCCATGATAACTGGCAGTTTTTGACCCTCCCTCCCTTAGCCAATACATGTTTGAGTGTAGATTATGTGAATTCCTAAGGCCTTTATACACACTAAAAAAGTCAGGCCTTCTAAAAAAAGACTGGGTTTCAAGGTACAGAATTTAGCCAATGACCATAACTCTAAACCTCATAGAACCTGTATTCTCTTGGAGGACGTGGGTCTCTGGGACAGCCCTGTCCCACAACTTCTCTCTTGTGTGTTTCTTTTCTTTTGAGGCCAGTAGTAACTGGATTAAATTTGCATGTCTGTCCTTTTACTTCTATCAAGGCTATAAAAAGAAGTTACAAATCTGTTGACAATGTTTTCAAGGGTGTGTAAATGCATACTCTTGGTGGAAAGGCAAAAGCCTTGCAGAATTGTATAGACTGGAATGAGGCATAAAAACGCCCCATGCTTTTTGTAAAGAAAAACTAAAGAAAATAATGCTACATCAAAGGTTTGGAGCTTTTCTTGTTTTTACCAACTATCCACAAGAATTTTTCCTTGTGTGCCACAAAAGTTTGAATAACTCATCTCCATGACTATTCTGGTCTCAACTACATTCTGTAGATTGCATCAAGCCTATGTTAGGAAGGAAAACATAGCAACCCTTGCATTCAGGTCCAAGTTTAGCCCAAGTCCTAGACTCTGGAGATTTGGGATGAAGAAGGTAAAGACTCAAGTTTCAATAGACCTCTGTGATCTAACTAATTTTCTTGGATGAGAAAGACTCATAGAGCTTTGATCTCTGGAAGATAACTCAGAGAGAAAAAAAAAGACATGTAGAAAGATTGGATTTCATATTCATTTTCTCATCTATGTGTGAAATCATTTTTCAAGTGATACTTTGTTCCATTGTCTTTTCTTCTATAATATTATTAAAGCAAAGTGCCTAAAATGGGGACTGTTCTTGGAGAAAAAAAATAAACATGTGAGATCACAAGTATAAAATCCTGCCTATTCAAAAATGTACCGGTTCTTCCTAAAATATGAACTAAGAAAGCATCATTTGAGGAGTTTATTTCAGGTGGACTTCTACTAGTGTTGATTTCAGATCAAAGTAAAACTGTAAAGTGCTTTTAGAGCTGCTCTTACTGTGTATGAACATGAAAAAAATAGTTTCTCAGTGAATTGCCACAGCTTTCCGATTCTCTAGTCTCGCGGAAAAAAATTGGTGCTTTGATCTTTCTGATATTCCAGTTTGTAACAGACATGAGTGCAGAGCTGCTTTTGAATGACATGCACTATTTAAATTGCTCACAGTTATTGTGACCAAGCAATGTAACTTGACCCTGTGTTAAGAAGAATGCCTATAGATACCCCCAAATTTAACAAAAGTTAAGGTACTCACTGAGCAGCTAAGCATTTGTGTGTATGTGCAAGTGTTTGTGATAAATCTCAAGCAAAAATCTCACACTTAGTAGTGCTCAGTAAACAGACATTGAATAAATTATAACAAAGGACAAGCTTTATTCACTACCTTATAGTCTTTTAACAACTGGAAGTTAATGGCTGGGGGAAAACTTTACTTCTGTAAGTGTCAGGGTACTTTGGACATTCTTTTCTAGGTAAGACTATAGCTTAGTGATTCTTTGTATGTACTAGGAACAAGGTAGCCTACATTTAAAATCTAGTTCATTTTCCTATTAGCTAAGTGGCCCTAGACAAGTCACCTAGGTTCTAGGTAACTATTGCTGAGAAACAAACTTTCCTATAATTTGATGACTTAGAATAACTATTCATTAGATCTCATAATTTGACAGGTCAGAATAATGGGCAGAGTTCAATGCAGCAATTTTTCTTGCCTTTATGGAGTTGATTTGGGTTATTCAGTGACTGCTGTAGTCGGGTAGGTTTGGCTTCCCACAAATACTTCATGCCTGAGTTGGTTAATGGGAAAGACTGGACTTAAGTGGGCTGTTTTCCCTCTTTATGTTATCTCCAGGATTCTGCCTGTATCCCCTTCAACAGAATAGTTGCACTGGCTTCATGGAGTCTCAAAGCTTCCAGAGAGGGTGTGTTAAGGAAAGAAAATACTTAGAGCCAATATCCTATATCCTGGAAACTGGGTGGGTGTCACCATATTCTATTGGTCTAAGATTCTAGGGTTTTCCCTCCTCTAAGAAAAGAGATGGGAAACTCACTTCTTCACAAGAAAAAATGGTAAGAATTTGCAACCAACCTGAGCTGACCATGCAGAAAATGGGGAGAGCAGGGGAGTTACTAGCCAGGCCTATACTACATGTACTCTTCTGAGGATGACTGGGTTAATATAAGTAAAGTGCTCAAAACAAGTGTACTATATAGAGTAAGATTGCAGATATTTTAGCCATTGTTATAAAAATATACCTCTTGTCTGTAGTAGTTATAATTTAGATTAAGACTAATAATTTTAGAGAGGATAGGGATTTAAAGGAGATCTGGGGTTAAATTTAGAGGCTGAAACTAGTTCTGATAAAAATATCTGTGACATTGGGACTGGTTGGATTTCTCTGACAGTTACTCATCTTGAATTTTTTCTTTTATTTTAACAACAAACCCAAGAGTTTATTTTTTAAATGAATCCATGAATTCTACAGGACTTGAGAAATAGGTTCAGTTATGACATTTATTTTTTTACCCATATTTTGAGGATTACAGAGAAAAGGAATCCAAGTCCTGACCATCACAGAGTTTATAATCTGAGGAAGGCAAGAGGGCTTGACACTAACTATCACTATGAGACAGTGACATATGGATGGTTGTCTGTGTTGGGGATGATGAATTGTATAGAGGATGACTTGGCCAGTTTGCATGAATGAGTTGATTATGGAACTGGGCCTTTTAAGATGAGCACAATTGCAAAGGCAGGGCAAGGAACAAGTTCCAGTTGACCAAATATCAGAAGCTATACTGTAAAAGTCAAAACTGACCATTGCTGGGAGAAAGAGCCAAGACCAGTTAGAAAGGAGAGTGTATACATGCAATTTGTGAGAGACAAGGGTTCCAGATTGTGCGAGCCTCAGCATGAAACTCCCCCAGATGGGGAAGGACCCACAGGAGTGAATGGGATAGGATTCCCTGTAGGTCATACCACTACGAATACTCCAGCATGACACTTTTACTACAGCTGACTTCAGGATGGGTGGGCAACTATAATGACATCCGTACATCAGCTTCTAACACAGGAAGATTCATTCAAATTTCTCCATCCTCAATCAGGACAGAAGGAAAATGAACAAAAGTCTTTCACTACTAATGTTTGGCTGTACAACCAAAATGTTTCCACAAGAGAAGGACCAA